TTGACTTAAAAACTTCATGATTTGATTTTAATCTAAAATTTTTTATGACTTTGATTTTGACCTGAAGCATTTTACGACTTTGATTTTGATCTGAACCATTTCATGACCTTGATTTTAACCTAAAATTTTTTATGACTTCGAATTTGACCTGAAACTCATTGTTCCAGGAATCAGTTGGACCTGGTACTCTGCGAAAACAGAAGCCTATCAGTGCATCAGCTTCCAATTTATCGCGTCCACTTCGCCGTGGTACCAGTCCTGCATTATCCACAAGTGGTCAGCTGTTCAATGCAAGTGAATTGGGTACGCTACCGCGTGCTGGAACAGTTCCTCGTGGTGTCAGTCCTGGTCCCGGTGCCGTAAGTTTTTGGTAAAATTTGTAAAATACGGAAACCAGTTTTACATGTCTGCGCTCCCTACATATACATTTCAACTTAGCAACGAGAAAATTTTTTGGCTGTGAATGCTAAAAATTTTAGGCATGTTTCGTATTACATCTAATTGTCATGGATTTTTGTCCAAATTTGGTATTTTTGGGAGATTTTTGTCAGTTTTTCTATCTTTATTGGGTTTTGCGTTTCAGTTCTTTCCGATGGATTCAAATTCTAGAAATCTATTTATCATTAAATGCTAGAAAAAAAAAATCCATCCTTCACCACTACTTATATTGTTACTGGTGAACATGGCACGGTGTTTAAGTAGCACCACGGTCATGCGAAACATCGAGGGCTCGACTTCGCTGTAGGGCAAACCAGTCCCTTTTACGAACCGTTCATTCGTTTCTATGGTAAATTGGTACTGGCATATGTTAGGAAATCAAACGTCCCATCAAGCTTGCTTCCAAGGAATCATCGAAGAAAGGGCTATCAGAAGTCTTGGCACTGGGTGATTGTTGTTGCCACTTGCTACACTTGGGCTATTTTTGTTTGCCTCTGTTTCTTCTAGAAAATGAATGCGAAGGAGCCTTTGATTTTGATTTGTACTGTTAGATAGGCTATGTTTTTCTCCTGACTTATCTAAGCTGCCGTGGAATCTCGATGCTTCCCCGTTCTAAGAACTTGTGAACAGTGCCACTCAAAAAAGCGTTTAGTCGATTTTTGTGCTCAAAAGTCGAAGAATTTGCATATTTGCAGTACAGTGGTTCGATTGGTCGAAGTCCAATTATGCCATCTGTTTCGTTTTGTGAAGGACTGGAGAACGAGCAGTACGACATGGCACTTGTTCATTCACCTCGAGTTATTCCAAATAAGGAAATGAATGTTTTTAGGCCGCAAAATTTTGCAGAAAAAGCAGCGCTAAATCGTGGTTGGCTTGATTCTTCTAGGTGAGACATTTTCTCATGCAGCTTTCCTGTTTAAAAATTCATAAATAATTGATGTAAACTGATGAATTTTTGTGAAAATTAGTGATTTGACAGTGCTGACTAAGCCAGAATTGTACATGGTAAAGGGTTTTCAAGCGTTTGAGCGTTTTGTATGAGAGGCGGAGGCGCAGGGAATAACCAGAGATAAGTAAATTGATGAATTTGTTGCGAAATTAAGGATTTAACGGCCCTGACCTAGTGAGAACTATAAGTGTTAAAGAGCTTTAAAGCGTTTTAACGTTTGTATGAGAAATAAACACGTTCCAACAACAACTGCTAGCCGGCGAAACTCTCAAAAGCTCCATCTTTCGATTGAGTAGACAGATAGCTGCTTTTGACTCCCTGGCTTTATCAGTATCAACAGTGAAACGAATGAACGAATCGTAGAGGGATTGGTCCTCTTACTGTTAGAGTGGGCCCTTGGCCTTCAACATGCGAGCAGCACGTCCTGCTTATTGGGTTGTACCTCCTATTCAAATATAAAGTTATAAATATGTAAATATACGGTTGAATATTTCCAAATATAAATTAATATCCATTAAATTGATATCCATCAAAGTTAAACGTTTGTTATCCTATCCAAAGCTAAAAAAAATAAATATAAATATATCCAAATAAATATCCAAATATAAATAACACGTCCAAAAATAAATATAAATACAAATAAAAGAAAATATAAAATTATACGGGCTTATTTATTTACGTAAAGATTGCTAAAAAACGGAGTGAGCACTGTTGTAATAACATCTTACGGCTGAGTGTTGTTTTTACTGTCCTGAGGGGTAATACTGCTCAAGTGAAACACAAATACGAAACACTTATTCATTTCAAACAGGTTCATGCTTACATGCCCTGTATGTTTGTTCAAAAAAATGCAAAAAACACAAAACAGGATTAATGAGGGATTTTTTTCAAGTGGATTTTGCGCTCTGGGAAATCATCAAAATAGCCCGGGACAACTAATACAATTTTATATTTTAACAGATTTTTAAAATTTTAATATTTTTTTTTTGTTGTAAAATTCATTCATTCTGCGTTTTACAGGTCGTTAATGGAGCAGGGTATATTTGAAGGTGATCTTGTATTGCTGAGATTCAAATATATGTCATTTTTCGACATCAATCCAAAGGTTTGAAATTCTTCCGTTAGTTATTAACTAAAGTGATAGTATACATTCGCCTCATTGGCTGGGACATTTTTCAGTCAGCTTGATTCATTTGAGTTTTATTTTTGTTCACTTAATTAAAATTTTTTAATGTTATAAAATTACGGATGTTCAGAAAGGATTATTCATGTTTTATATGAGTTTATTATAATTTCTAGTTCAAACATTATACATTAAGGTACTTAAATTCCCGTTGCGTTGATCTTAAACACTGTGAGTCTTCGCTGTGCTTTTGTGTCTCGCTTCTTATGTACCAAACGCATGGAATGTGTGTGTTTGTGTGCGTGTGTGTGCGTGTGTGTACATCTGCGTGTGTGTGTGCATGCAAGTATATACGTGTCCTGCTTGGTGGTTAAATAAATTTGAATGTGAAAATACAGGAAAATTTTCTAAAATATGCCGGCAGTTTTCCATTTTTTTTGTTGTCGGTGCTGCATCATCTGATGTTTCAGTCTGCCGGCGATCCTGTTGTTATTTGTTTTGCCTCTTCAAGCTTGAATTTTTAAACCTGAATGTACATAATTTTAAATTATGAATTTTTTTTATAGCTGGTCAGGTTTCAGTGATAACATGGTAAAAATTTGTTTAAGAATGTTTTGGCCCATTAAGTTATGTACGCACATTTCACTGCTTGCTTTTGCAGTACGATCCAGTGCGCATCAATCAACTTTACGAACAAGCAAAATGGTCTATCCTGCTTGAGGAATTTGATCATACCGAGGAAGAAGCTATGCTCTTTGCCGCATTGCAGGTTTGTTCGATTTGTTCGTTTTCCGATTTTTTGCAACATTTTTGTGCCTACTTGTATAGAGCGTGCGAAAAGAAAAAGTT